TATTTTTATTTTGAATTATATAATTATTATAATGTTATAAAATGTAGATTATACATTTTACAATATATTCATATAGATTATGCATTTTCATTTTGAATTATATAATTAATAATTATTATAGCTTTATTCAATTTAGACATGTGACCAAATTTTATGAAAATATTATAAAATTTGATCAAAATTAGTTACATTTATACATTTTATAATAGACATACAATTATAATAGACATACAATTGGTGGTGGGGGGATGACAGTGTCCGGCGGAATCAATATAAACCTTTTTCCTAAGCAGGTAATCTCGACAGAATCAATAAATCCCCGTTCGAATTCTAGAACTCATGAATTCGGCAAACTGTCATTATAAAAGTACTAAGCTACATTGTGTATTTATAGTATAATTTATAATTTAATATGATGTAATGTATTATGATAACAAAGAAATCATATTATTTCAATAAACACTTGGTAAATTATTATAATTCTTTATTTTTAGAAATTCAATTTAATAAGTAATTATAAATTAATACGGGGATTTATTTAACACTGTGTAGGTATATACCTACTATATGTCTCTATAACCTTAATTATTCTAGATAATATTTTTCGTCCAGCATACATCAGCTATACAAATAATAACAATTCAACTGTAACAAATATGATAGCATCGTAGTAAAAAAATTATTATTTCCTAACGTAAATTGTATTTTTTTTTCTATTGTCATCACATTTCACGCAATTAGACATTGCATTAAACCTTCGTCATAAAAAATATTATAACCAACTGATACACGTTTGTGTAAAAATGTAGTTTTTGTATCATAGTTGCATCAGGACTCAGGAGGTGGACACTTTTGAGCGGCGGGCCGATAATTGAGAATCAGTTGGCCATGACACCCGAGGTACACAGTGTGTACATTACCATGGCGGTGATACGCCAGTTCTCCCGGAGTGATAAGAAAAAAAATTGATTTTTTGATTTTTTGAATTTCAAAACTGCCAACCTTAAAAAGTAAAAATCCCAATAACTTTCTTTCAACTGTTATACCAACTTAATACCATTAAATATGAAAAATATATTTATTTATTTTAAAGTTCAAATATTATTGTACAAATTATTGGAAATTATCGTATCATCGTATCAAAATATAATAGTACCCATTTGATAGAGGCCCTGTAGGGTTAGTACTTGGGCCATTACAAAAATTATAAGTTTTGAAATGTAATAATGTAATAATCTATTGGACGCTCATTCACAACAGCAGATGCAAAATATATAATTAACCTTTTTGTAAATGTTATTAGTACCTATACAATGAAATATGGGAAAAATAATTTATTTTAAATAATACATCTTTGTAAATTGTATGCAAATGATATAATTACATACCTACAATTATTATAAAATAAATAAGGAATAATAGATTTTTCAATTATTAAAACATTTGGTTATTCAACACCATCTAGTGTTGCATTTTGTGAAATGAGTAATTAAAAATTATAAATTAATGAGNCAAAGTTATGAATAGATATGATAAAATTGGTTATAAAATAAAGTAGAATGGCAGCAATAAAGAGTACAAAGATGACTTATGCTAAGCTAAAATTATAAATTATGTCATTAATAGTTTTTTTTTTTTAAATTATGTAAATAATAGAAGTTATGAGGGTTTATTTTGAACTTGATACAGAATTTTACAAATACATAGTCAGGTCCTGATTGAGCTAAACTGGTTCTTAATCTAGGAATTATTAAATTAGTGTTTTGCTTATAATGAGTAAAATGACTATGTATTGGTAGTGATATAGACAATATATAGTATAGGTAGGTATATGTTTATGCTTGAACAATATCTTAGGTAGGTACATACATACAATAAATGAAGGGAATTAAGGTTAAATATTTGAAATATTTCCAACTCATTGTRTAGAGACATTGTGGGGAATAGTCTTGGTAAATTAAATAAACATCTAAATTAATTTAATGTGGTTTCAAGTTTATTGATATAAACATGATATTCTGAACCCCAAAAAGCAATTACATATTATGCAATAATATAGTGTACTAATTAGTTACAATTAGTTAAACTGTATTTTGTACAATACTACAATTGAATTAACATGTTAATCAATATTATTGTTCAGTGAACCGTGTTCATAGAATTCATAATAGTTGTATGAAAGATGACTGTTCTATAACAGTAATATTATAAAATTAACAAACAAAATTCTTTTCTAATTTTAGTTTAAAAGTGAAAAATATGAACATAGGCACTAATGTACCTGAGGTGCTGAATGATATAGAAATGGGAAGAGGAATTTTATTACATTAGAACACTATTAATATTTCACAATTTTAAGAAACAAATATTCAATAAGGTTAAATCCTATAAAAATATTTCTTAATAACTGCAATTAAAATATTTATATAATTTAAAATGATTTTATTTATTTAAAATTTGCCAATAAATACAAGGTAAAATAATATTAGAGCATAATATAAAATATATCCTTAAAGGTTCTCGTTTTTCTTGAATACTTGTGACATGAAGATGGGTGGTAAATGTACGCGTTCAAAATAGCTCATGTCTGAATCAATATAAAAAATTTGTATCTAGTTATAAATTTAATTTTGCCATTTTTTTAAAATAAAGATACAATATGTTTTAAATTTATCTTTTGTGTTTGGTTTAGATTAATTATAATCTCATAACCAATAACTAACAGATTAAGAGTAATTTAAATACTAGAAACATACATGATCTGTTTTATGAATTATGAAAATTTAAATGTAAGTATTGTAGGGATTAGAATTAAGTAAAAGTAAAATATAAGTTGCATTTAGTCTTTTTCATTGGATTTCTGCTTCTCAGATACACAATTGTCAATATTATAGAAATATAACTAGAAATGGTTAAAAAGTTYTATAGATTAAAATCGTCATTGGTTAGTTGACATAATTATTGATTAGTATAATAACTAATAACTATGTTTGGATTAAAAAAATCACAGTGATTGTGAAATCTTAGACTTGCAGAGGTTTTAAGTTTGTATAAGTGTTTGTAAGTCTAGAAAACAAAGATTAGTTTATTATTTAAACTTTTTTCCTCTTAAGTTCAAAAAATTAAAACAAATTGAATATAATTACATAAATAAATAAAAATAATAAACTTATTCAGTAGGTACATAACTTCAACTTTCAACAAGTCTGAAGTATATGTTGGTAAGTTGTGATTTGTGCACTACATATACACGGACCAAAATACCAAGTTAGCCTTTAGATTTTTGGTGTATAACTATGACTAGATTTACTAATTTAATTTAACGTGTCAGGATTACACGTTAACGTGAATCCTCTTCCAATTAACAATTTGTATAATTCGACTTGAAAACTTAACTGCGTCAGGAGTTCAGGACTGATCGTATCATCCTAAAATCTTCGATGATCGACGCAGTTACGTATAAAGATCGACTGTTTACTCGAAAAAACATCAAAAATCGACCGCAAAATAGAAAATTCGTCAAGACAAAATTTCCCGCCAAATTTTTTTTTTGAAAAATTCAAATTTAAGATCACGATTTAACACCAAACTAATAGAGCTAAAAATGTTTAGTGAGCTGGAAATTAGTCTAAGGACGCTTCTGGTTCGATCCTCGAAGATTTCAGGACAATATCACAAATATTGAAGAAGTTGAGATTTTTATTTATCACGTTGTCGGGAGGTGGATCGGAAAACCTAAATTGTTTAATACTTGGTACATCATCCTGAAATTTTCGAGGATCGAACCAGAAGCTACTTTAGACTATTTTCCAGCTTACTAAACATTTTTGGCTCTATTAGTTTAGTGTTAAATCGTGAT